TACTTAGAACATTTTAATAGAAAATTTAATTAAAAAAATTTTAGAAAATGTTTTTTTATAATACCGAAATCAAAACAAGATGCACAGACGAGTTCATTAAGCATATAATTGCTAATCATTTATTTATTCATATCTTTAAAATTATCTATCTCATAATCATATTCATAATCGTATTTCTCTGTATAGTCAATTTAATGAGTAAAATTTTTACATAAAATACATATTTTCCAAATTTACACTTAATCATCAGTAATTATAATAAGATTTGCATATTATGACATCACCACATCAACAATTTGAAGCTAAATCGAAAAAGTTTCTTATAATTATTTTTTATTAAAAATTTATTCTATTAAACTTTCTATTTAAATTTGAGAAAAACTTTTACAGTTTATTAAATTAGTTATGATAAAAAATATTTCACAAATTCTTGACACAAGCAAATTATTGAAGAATGAAACAAAATCATACTTCACATATTATTAGCAACAGAAACTGTTCACAGGGTAAGACAAATATAATAGTTTTGTTAAATTATAATTACTTTAGATGATTCTTTGACAAATGTTAGAAATTTAAACCTAATTTGTTCTAAAACTACAAACTTTAATAAAAAAATCGAAATGATAACTAATAAATCAATAAGAAAATAGCACATACTATTGATTTTGATTCTTTCTTAATCAAGTCTTTATTTAAATTATTTTTATGTTTTTCCTTTCTTCCTCCTATTTTATATTTAAAGTCTATTAATAAATATTTCATTAATTTCACATTGACATTGACATAAATCACATGTCAAAATTGGTTCATCTAACATATATATTAAATAAAAACAATTTCAAGGAGTAAAGTCACAGGATTGTTTAATAAGAAATATATTAACATATGTTATGAATTATCATCTAGCACGGCATATAGTTTAATTTAAAATCTTAAAGAAACAATAATTTAAATGTTGGCTTGTACAAAAAGTCACTAAAATCCTTTATAATAAACTTTTTCATTTTCATAAGATAATTTGTTTAAATAATTTTATTTTTATATTATTTTTTGAATCTGATGTTTCAGAAATGTCACCGTGACATAATTATAAATTACCTACTAAAGTTGGTTCACTAAACATTAAAAAAATCAAATTAAAAAAATTTAAAATCAGTTTATTTATACTGGAAATGGAATTAAAAATAATTTTCTAAAAAATTTAATTTGATTTAACAATGATAGAACACTAAAAAAATAAACGCCATATTTTTTTAAA